TTTTCACAAAAAAAAATAATGATTCTATTGAATATGTTTTGATTTATGTTGATGATATATTGTATTTTGGACACGACAAAATTAAATGTGATAATTTCGCTGAACAACTAGGCAAAAATTTCAACTTAAAAATATTAGGAAAGGTAAATAAGTATCTAGGAGTCCAAATTGACAAAACAGATAAGGGGTTCAAATTATCTCAGAAAGACAAGATTATGGAACTCATACAAAAATGTAATTTAATTAATTCAAAAATTTGTGATACTCCTATGTCAACTGATTTTTATAGGAATGTGTATAATGAGTACGAACCATTCAAGGATAACACGTTATATCGATCAATTATTGGGTCCTTATTATACATATCTAATTGGACCAGGCCTGATATCACCCTTGCTGTAAATTTGTTGTCAAGACATGTAAGCAATCCTAACTCATACCACTGGGAAGGAATTAAGAGGATTCTAAAATATCTAAAGTCTAGCATTGATATGTGCTTATTCTTAGAACCATTCATTTCTGAAAAACCAACTTTGACCTGCTACGCTGATGCTGATTGGGCTACTGATTCAAAAACCAGAAAAAGTACTTCTGGATATGTTTTTCTTATAAATGGCTGTGCGGTGCACTGGTACACAGGCAAACAGAATTTAATTGCCACTTCCACAGCGGAAGCCGAATATGTTTGTTTATCCAAAGCGGTCAACAATCTAACTTGGTTCGATGACTTGTTAACCAATGTGTGGGATGAACCTGTTTATCCAATTATTATCAATGAGGACAATAAGGCAGCAATTGATATATCAGCTTCCGAAGCAATAGGTCAACGATCTCGACATATCGATATAAAATATAAACATGTAAGACAACTGTCAAGTATAGGATTTATTAAAGCTATCCATTGCAATACTAGTGAACAAATTGCTGATATCCTCACTAAGCCATTGCCAACCAAACAACATATGTATTTGACTTCCAAACTTGATGTGCATATATAATCTTAATAACCCACCATTAGTTAGGTATTTTAGAGGGGGATTTGTTACAGATGAAAATACCTAACCTGATATCTGTAAATATGTGTGCTTGTTTATATGTCATTGTGTGATGTCATTGTGTCACTTACCATTGGTTAGTACTTACCATTAGCCCCGCCTTCTCTGTATATAAGTTCTTGCTCCTCCCAGATTAGTGCCTGTCTAATTGTGTTCCTGAGGAAGAAAAGAAATAAATATTACTATTACAAGAAAGCCTACAGTCTCTTATATATGGGCCTAACCAGGATAACCAAACTAGCAACAATACTAATATAGTATTAGAAGGAAAAGCATAAATAATCTGAATTTCTTTCAAGTTTTATTTGTCACATGTTTGAATTCGAGTACATTTCATAAAAGAAGAGAAAAGAGGAAAGCCATGAAAATCAAAATGATTCAAGAAATATTATAGGATATATTATATCCTATAATATAAGAGTAAGTGAAATAGTGTTAGAAGTGCAAATGGAGGGAATGCAAATCCATCACACTGAATAACTTACGAACGAGACTCACTAGAAGGGACCGTGTTGAAAGGCAATGTTCTAGGAAATGACATTGTTTCAGTGGTGACTGCAGCAATGAGATGGTCTCCTGGCCTGTAGTAGTTCCAGGGTTTTTCCTCATCACGTATCTCAAAATTCAGTGGGCATTTCATTCTTAGCTTCTGAGAGAGTGCCTGAGACACCAGCAGCATTAGAAGCAGAAGATCCATCATTTATAGGACTGAATCAATCCCTTTCCTGTTTCCAAACAAAACAAGAAGAATTAGGAGAATTCAAGGCACTCTCAGTTTCCTGATTCAGACACAGACAAACCAATCTTCACCTGAAAATGAGGGAAAGGTACATTCAAGAGTTCAATCTCTGCTTATTCCAAAACATCTGCCATACAGAGAGTGAGCTGTGACATTTATCCTTTTCTGATGAAAGTTTCCTTTCTTGTTGATTTAATCTGATGTTAACATCAAAGACAGTCACTATAGCAGAAAATGACTCAAAGACCGGGATGGTGATAATTAGAGTGAGAAATAATTTCTCCTCCAGGGATCCTGAAATTATTCCAAGACTCCAAGTGCAGAAGGTCAGTTGGAGAACACATGTAAGTGAAAAATCATAAACACATCCCTGAGGGAGTTGTGATCCTTTCTGTCAGGACATGTCCAGAAAGGGATGCTGGAGGAAAATAGTTCAACACCCATGGAATTGACTTCTGCTGCCCTTCATTGTGATGTCTTGTCTCCAGAGACTTCTGGGGAAGGTCACCCAGAGCTATGAAGTTCAATTAAACTCTACATTGATGACACAACTCTAGTCCTTCCTGGAGGCAATCAGTATCCTTGAACTCTTCCTGATGTTAAGAGGAGGGTCTTTTTGTGATTTTTTTTCTATTAGATCTCCATATTTCCATGCTAACTTGCAGTTGATTTTAAATTTCCTTGTGCCTGAAGTGAAATTTCATTTCCCATCAGTTCTGGAAATGTCAACTGTTGGATAAGAGCAGCTAAGAGGCTGGAAAGTGACAGCCTGTGGACTGTTATCATTGTTGAATGTTATCATATCCTTTGGCTTTCCCATCTCTGTTTGTAAACCCTCCCCAAAATATGGATAATTGGTTTGTAAGTGTGGTTGGGAGTCCCTATATTCCTAATGCAACAAGTTAGGGGGAATTTCTCCTTAGTTCTAAGTTGGTTCTCTCCATGATTAGTTTCCATCTGATACTTCTGTTTTATCTTAATTGCTTTGGAGAATCAATGGTCTTCTTTGTAGTAGCCCCTCAAATATTGGAAGACCCTAGTCTTCTCAGCATCTTTTCTGTGTATCACAGTGACTAAAACTGGATTCAGTATTCCAAGTATGGTCTTACCTGTGCAGTATAAATACAGTAAGTAGTAGCACTACATCATGGATGTCAAACTCACAGCCTGTGGGCCGAATGCATCACACGAAGGGGGGAAAAGTCTGCTTTTGAGCCAGGTACTAGTTACTCTGGGCTCCAATGGGGGAGCATAATAATGGAGGGGATTGATAGATTAACAGAAGATCCCATCCTTCCCATCTTTTAATTGGGTTGCAGTGTTTGGCTTTGTGTATGATTGTACTTATTGTATTGGTGCGAACAAGCCTACAACTACATGGCAGCACAAAAGTCAGAGGATAGTAGAAAGGTAGATGCAGAGGGAGAGAGGAGAATAAGAAAGTCTGTTCTGAAATGTAAGACTCCCCTCATTTTTGTAGCATATTGGAACAGTGCTATCATGTCTCTCCTGGTCCTTCTTTTCTCTAGACTAGACAAACCCAATTCTTGCAACCGTACTTTGTATGTTTTTGCCTCCAGTCCCCTAATCATCTTAGTTATTCTTCTTTCTAAAGTCTCAACATCTCTTTAATATTGTGGTGACCAAAACTAAATGCAGTATTTACAAGACTGTTCTTCTTAAGACCACTTAATAATAATCTTATTTGTAAAGGCGTACTAATACCCTACAAGACCTTGATTCTATCCCTCTATTCATGCAGCCTAGGATTACATTGGCTTTTTTGACAGCAGCTACACAGTGTTGGCTCATATTTAAGAGATTGTTCACTTGGACGCCAAGATCCCTCTCATCCTTCTTTCACCTAGTCTATACCTGGCATTTAGTTTTTCCTTGACTAAGTCTAAAACTTTACCTTTATCTACACTTAATTTCAGTTTTTTAGATAGCTCCTCAGGGATAGGACCACTTACAGAATTTTGGATTGATTCTATTGGCTAGGGATCTGTGGAGAGTTGGCCCAACACTATCAATCTTCCCCTATGTGTCAGTTGTTAAAGCCAAAAGGGGAGCCAAAAGTTGCCAAAGCCAAAGTTGCTATGGAAAGAGGACTTTCAGACCACATTTCCTTTTCTAAAATAGCCAGGGATATTGTAGGCCCCTTGCTACAATCTACTAAAGGCAATGAGTATATTATGATGGTCTGTGACTGTGTCATTAAGTACCCGGAAGCAATTTCATTAACAAATGTGATTGCTAAACATATAGCAGAGGAGCTGGTAAAAATCTTCAGAAGATAGGCATACAATATGAGATCCTGATGGATCCAGACATCAATTTTCACTCAGCACTGCTGAAATATTTATATGCAGAACTGGAAATAAAATGGATGTTTACTATGGGTGTGTAATTTACTATGCACAGATGAGAAGAATTGGAGGGTCCTTTTTAAGTATTCAGTGGAGTCCTGGATGATGAGCCAAAGCTGAAAAATCCGGTGAATACTTTAAAAGAAACCATCCATAAAGAGGATGGAACTTGATCTGGAGCGTAAAGGAAAGGAGGTTGCTGAGAAGGAGCAAATCAGAAGAAAGAAAAGGAACACCAATCCCAGTTAGAGCTGTTACAACATCACATTATCCTGATTAACCTCTCCCACCCACCCCGAGTACTATCCAAACCAGGGGTGAAATCTAGCAGGTTCTGACAGGTTCTGGAGAACTGGTAGTGGAAATTTTGAGTAGTTCAGAGAACCGGTAGTGGAAATTTTGAGTAGTTTGGAGAACCAGCAAATACCACCTCTGGCTGGCCCCAGAGTGGAGTGGGAATGGAGATTTTACAATATCCTACCCCCAGGAATGGGGAGGGAATGGAGATTTTGAAGTATCCTTCCCCTGCCACACCCACCAAGCCACACCCACAGAACCAGTAGTAAAACAATTTACATTTCACCACTGATGCAAACCTCAAAGGAATGAAAATACCAAGTCCCAAAGAACCATGAAAAACCTTCCAAACTAACTTTGAAGGAACCTGCCCTGTTTACAGCACTCCAAAACCCAGGTTGTAGCTCACATGTGTCCATGTTGAAGGTTCCCTAAATCAAATATGGATTAACCTAAGTGATGAGAAAAGGGATGACTATCAACAGTTTAAAAGATATGAAAATTAATTAATATTAAAAAACATAGACTATTTAGTAGAAAGATATTATTTGTCATTTAATATATGTATTAGCTCATCTGAGTGTTCCGAGGAAAAGGAGGACAACAAATAGTTTAAAACACAAATATTAATTATAAATCACTTGTTTAATGTTTGAAATTATTTTGGATTTTAATTTGATTAATCTGACACTCTTAATGTTTTTATTAGCTTTGTTTTAAATAACCCTAATTGTCAATTAAATGCAAAGGAAGCATACAAGTCAGTAATAATTGCAATAAATAATTAAATGATACAAATCTAAGAAACAATTTCATTATCATTTTCCTACTTTTATCATTAAATGTTCCTTAGTATTTAGCTCTGATCTCAGGATGATAATGTAGCATTTGGGGAAGAAGATGCAGCCCAGGAGTCCAGCACCAGAGGCCAAGATGGAGAAGACCTGAACAGCCACCATGTATTTCCCTTTGGTGCTCAGGTAGGTGGGCAGGAAGGAGACCCAGACACTGCAGAAGACCAGCATGCTGAAGGTGATCAGCTTGGCTTCGTTGAAGGCCCCAGGCAGGTTCCTGGCCAGGAAAGCTACAGTGAAGCAAATGGCAGCTAGGAAACCCATGTATCCAAGGACAACATAAAACATGGTGAGTGAGCCTTCATTGCATTGAAGGATGATCACTTCTGGCTGGGAGTGGAGGTCAGAATCAGGAAATGGGGGAGAAACTCCCAGCCATATGGCACAGATGAAAGTTTGGACACCAGAACAAGAAAGGGTGATGTAGTTGGCCAAGCTCTTCCCCAACCATCTTCTCACACTGTTGCCCGGTTTTGTTGCCAGAAAGGCCAGCACCACTGTGATTGTTTTAGCCAACACAGAAGACACGGCTACTGAGAAGACAATGCTGAACACTGTTTGTCGGAGAAGACAGGTGGCTTTCCTTGGTCGGCCAATGAAGAAAATAGAGGACAAGAAGCAGAGTATGAGGGAGACCAGGAGGATGAAGGAGAGGTCCCGGTTGTTGGCTTTGACAATGGGAGTTTCTAGGTATTTAATGAATATGGTTAAAACAAGGCCTGTGGCTAGAAACAAGAGTAAAGCAAAGGAGGCCAGGATGATGCCCAGATCTTCCTCAAAGGACAGGAAGCTTATTCTTTTGGGGATACATTGGACTCGGTCCTCATTTGGAAATTGATCATCTGGGCACTTGGTGCATTTTTCAGCATCTGAGAAAAAAGAAAGCAAGATTTTTTTTATCTCTTTTTATGTTTTAAGAAATATCTTCTTTGGATGACAGATAATGCTGAGAGACAGGAAAGCCATAGCAAATGGTGAAAATATGTAACATTTATCTGGTTGCCCATCTTAAACCAATTTAGGGCTGCTTAAAGCCCAACAACAACAAAAAAAAAAAACAATATAATCAACAACAAAACCAATAACAAAATATTCCCCCCAAATCCCCCCCAAAATACCTGGCTCTCCTGTTACCCTTCACTGCAGCAACACACCACATTCTTATCCTGCACTGACCTCATATCATCCCAATAGCTAAAAGAAGAACCAGGTCTCCAGAAATTTAGGAAGATGGAAGCCTCTTGGAGGGAGGGTGTTCTGTAGGGCAGGAACTGCAACAGAAAATGCTGCCTTCCGAGGATCCACAAGGTAGCTATAAACAATATTTGGTTTTTTACCTCTTAATCCATAAAATAAAGAGAGCACTGGAAAAGAAAGAGGCTGATTTTATCCCCATTAATGGAAAATTTAGTATCACCTGCACCAATGTCCTCTTGATGGATTTTCTGGTGAGTCTTCCATTTCATTTTCTTTTGCCCCTTGAACGTAACATCTCTCCCACCATGGCACATTCAAATAGCTATTTCTGCTTGTCAGATGTAAATGCCTTATTCTCCAATGTGTAAATAATGTATATATGGAACATCAGAGGTTAACTTATTCTTTGGACTTTAATGTATTCATAACTTACCACTCCCATTCCTAGCTCCACCCCTTGTATATATAAGGAGCCACCCTCACCATTCTCGTTGCTTCTACCTTGAATATTCAGTGAATATAGAATGCCTATCATAATTAAAAGGAAATATATTTAAAGCTCTAACTCCTAATATCTTTATTGAGTCTGATCCTGAAAATATTGCAACAAGCTGGTAGCAGAGGATGGTTAATTGACTCAATAAGTAATTAAAAATGTCCAAGAAAGATAGGCCCAACACCAGGGCCTACAGCAAAGAAATAGAAACTGATCAAGAGATGATCAACGAATCCACCAATGCGATTTCGAGAGAATCCGAAGAATACACCACTGAAGAAGAAGAACTAATGAGTGAAAATAATGACCAGAAAGAAATCGAAATAGAAAATAACGAACTCAGGTCAGAGATATTAAAGATACTAAAAAGCCAAAAGAATGATGAAAGTCTCATCGCGGACCTCCAGGAGATGCTGAAGAACAGCGGAGCAGCGAGAGAGAAAAACGTCATTAAAGAAAAACCCAAAGATCAAAAAACCGTAAGTGAGATGACTACTGAGAAAATAGTTGTTAAAAAGAAAAGATGTGATCCCGCGCGAAATTTTGAATGGCAGCCATCTTGGTTTCAACGAACTTCAAAAGAGAATGGAGCAGAGCCAATCAAAACGCTCAGTTCAAAATTTCTGGCGCGAAAAACACTATCAGACGAAGAAAGTGAGAAAGAAGTCTCAAACTCTTCAGATGATCCAAAATCAGAAAGTGAAGACGATTTAACAAAATCTCAAGTAAAATCAGCAATGAAAACGCTTTTTGCTGCTTTTGGGCCAAGACTGAAAATTACCAAGACATCTACGAAGAAGCAAGAAATCAAACCGGCGACTCAAGACCTGCACGCTCCCATCCTGACTTCGAAAGCGACGACGCCCGAGCCCAGAGAGCCATGCCGATTTCGCCCTACACCACAGACAAAATCGAATACCAACGCACACAAAAAGAAGAAAAGAACCGTCGCCACCACCAGAACCCCAAAAACCGAGCCAGAGACCGACTCATCTGAGGAGGAGCGGATCGAGAGAGCTGAAAGGGAGAGAACCTTCCACGACGCCACCAAAGAAGAAATGAGCAACGCGCATGTGCGAAACTACGTAGACGACCCAGAAGGACTTGAACTGGCCAGAGAACCGCGCAGACTCATTGCAAGCATCCCAATGCCGTTCTGTAATTTCCTGCACTTGAGAGATCACGGACTGCCCCAGGTTGTAAGTAATGGACAGAATAATGTAGGTAACTTACCCAGTGACTTCCCAAAACTTAGAATTGATGGCATTAATTTACAAGAGTGGTATCAACAGCTTCAGGTTATTTTCATGAAAGAAAATTTACTATTCTTTATAACTAGCCCTCCAAGAAGACCTTGGACTTTAAAAATAGATTGTTTACATCATAGAGCATTTTTCATAATAATATCTAGCGTGTCTCCTGCAATGTATCATAGCATCAAACCAAACCTAACTGTATCAGAAATAATTCAATGCATGTTTAATCTATTTCACAGCGATAGCGTAGCTACAACCACAAGAATGTCTAAGGATTTCTTTTCCTCTAGAGTAAAACCAGGGGTTTCTATAAGTGAGCATTTGATAAATCTAAACAAAATAAGAGCTGAGCTACAATTGAGGGGGGAAGTGATTTCAGATCAAACAATGAAAAGTGTTATTATCAATTCACTTGATCCATCATGGGATAGCTTTATGTCACACTTAGATACCATTAATTTGGGATATTTATCCATAGAAAGTCTATCTAACAAATTGATAGCAGAAGACAATTCAAGAAAAAATCGATCCAGTAACCAAACAGACCACAAACCTTTTAGGAAAGTAGTCTTTCAAGATAAACATAATGAGGCCTTTAGATGCTACAATTGTGGATCCAGGGAACATAGTAGAAGAGACTGCCCCAAAGTCTCAAGAGAGAGACATAGACCAGAATATAGGAGCAAATATAATTACAGACAATCTTCCACAGATAGACACAAATATAGAAGTCCACCAAATTACAAAGAAGGTAGAAGGGGTAGAGAAAATTCAAAAGAGAGGAAATCTGGGTCACTGAATGGGCTAAATAAACAAGACAGCACCAGAACACAGCAGGATGAGAATAACAATTGGCTTATTGATTCTGGTGCAACAAATCACACCACCAACAACAAAAGTATATTATCTTCATTTATAGAAGATAAGTTTGTGATAAAGGTAGCTAATCAAGAAAAGGTTCAAGTACTAGGCAAAGGAAATGTGACCTTGCCTGGTCTAGGGAAAATAGAGGGGGTATTATTAATCCCAGAAATACCTCACAACATACTAAGTGCCATAAAATTAAGCAGAGAATCTGATATCAATATAGTTTTCTCAAAGGGGAAAGCAACTATAGAAAAGAACAAAACAAATGTAGGTACTGTAATGATAAAAGGAGGTCTACCCTATCTGATAACTAAAGAAAGATGTTTACATAACATTGATTCAAATATGGAAGATTGTATTGAAGCAGATGATGAAAATGTCAGTAACAGTGACAGTGATGAGTGTAGAATAACTCATGATCACAAAAATACATACAAGGAAAAGAAACCAAAAATAGGTAAACCAATTCATGATGAGTGTGCTCACATCTTACACAGGAAGTTAGGACATGCAAGCTTTCCTGTAGTACAAAAAATGACTGAACACGCAGAAGGTGTCAAAATAAAAAATTGTGAAAATTATTTGGAATGCTCAGTATGTAAATCCACCAAACTAAAAACCAGTCCCAGACCAAAAAAATCTAACAGATCAACTAACAATATTTTTGATTTGGTACATATGGACTTAGTTGGTCCATTAAGTCCCTCAATTACCTATAGAAAACGTTACTTCCTAACAATAGTGGATGACTACAGCCGATATGGTTTTGTTTACACATTAAAGCACAAGGATGAAACATTTCAGAAATTTAAGGAATTCTACAAACGTATAGAAACACAACATAATATCAGAATAAAGCAAATTATGACAGATAGGGGATGTGAATTCATGTCTAAAGAATTCTCCCAATGGTTAAAGGATAGAGGAATGTTACATTTCACGTCCAATCCTTTTTCTGCATTTCAAAATGGAGTTGCAGAGAGGAAAAATTCCACACTACAAACCATGATTAGGTGCACATTAGAGGATGCTGGTTTAGGCAAACAATTTTGGTCAGAGGCATTACATTATTCGAATTACACTCAAAATAGAACCTGGTCCAGTATTGTGAATAAGACACCATATGAGGTGATGTACAATAGAAAACCCAAATTATCACACATGCACATATTTGGAGTCACTGCAGACGTACACATACCTAAACAATTGAGGAGAAAGGGAGAAAACGTATCCAGGAGATTAAGATTCATGGGATACGAAACTGGAACCAAAGGGTACAGATTTATTGATAGTAATAACAAATTTATAGTATCCAGAACAGCTGTGTTCCATGAACAGGCCAATTGGTCAAAATTGCACCTTAATGAAATATTTCCTAATAAATGTAAAGATACGATATCTTGCGAGGAAGGAACAACAGAAAATCAAAATATTAACAAAAGTAAGAACAAAACCAAAACTTGGACTAATAGTCAGCATAAAATAAAGACAGACACATTAACAAAAAAGGAAGCTAGATATTTGCATGATAACCATAGCAAGCCTGAAAGAACTATTAGAAACAATAGAAACCAAATACCAAATAAATACAAAGATTACATAATGCATATGAATGGAGAACAAATAACACCTAATACATATGAAGAAGTATTGAAACTTCCACATGAAGAAAGAGAAAAATGGGAACTAGCTATGGAAAAAGAGATGGAAAGTTTACAAGGATTAAATGTATTCACACCTGCGATCGCACCTAAGGATAAAACAATTATAGGTACCAGGTGGATTTATAAAATTAAGAACTTAGAAGGAGGCAATACCTTATACAAGGCTAGACTAGTTGCACAAGGCTATGCACAAAAATATCCAGAAGACTATACTGATACATATTCACCCACAGTGAGAACAGAGAGTGTCAAAACAGCCCTTGTAGTAGCATCTGCACTCAATCTGGACGTATTCCAATATGACATACAGACCGCATACTTACATGCAAAATTAGATAAGGAAATATATGTAAGAGCACCACACAGTCAATACACTAATAA